TGCCATCAAGTCAGTTCTGACCCATAGCAACCCTGTATATAGTTTCTGAGGAGCTGCTGGTGAGTTTGAACTGTTGACCTTACATTTCAAACTGACCTTGTGGTCTAGTGCATTATCCCACAGTGCCACACCAGGACTCTGTAACACATCTTACAAGGATGTTAAATTTGGAATTTGTATGGGTGGCCCGGTATTTCTTAATGGCCTGTCCCAGGATGGAGTTGCTCAGCTGTAGGCCCTGAACATGTCCTAACATCTTCACAATTGCTCAAACAAGGTTGTCACAGCTCTCTACATTCCTCAAGATTTTAGTCATAATGCTTTAATCAAGCAGTGGCCCACATCTTAATTCTGTTTTCTGAATGCTTTCCTTCCTGTCTCAGGAAGAGGTCAATAGTAGCAAAGCAGATGATCCTAGACACTTGTCAGGTTTTCTGGAGGGAACTTGAGCACAGGAAAGTAATATAAGGAGTACTTAGACCAACAGAAAGTATAACTAGATGTTGTGTTTCCAGAGGTCTGTTGTTAGTTGTAATTGTGTTGGCCTAACTCATAGTGACCCCATGCACAATAGTAAGAAATATTACCCAATCATGCTCCAGCCTCACGTTACGTTTAAGTTCATCATTACAACACTGCGTCAATCCATCTCATTGGAGATCTTCCTCTTTTTTGCTGGACCCTAGACTTTACCAAGCATCATGTCCTTTTCTAGAAACTAGTCCCTCTTGACAACATGAGATGAGTTTCACCAGTTCAAACCCACCAGCTGCTCCTTAGAAACCCTTTACAGGGTTGCTGTAAGTTGAAAGTGACTCAACAGCTCTTAACAACATATATCCTATAGGATAAGTCTGGATTGTTAATCACAAGGTCGATGTTTAAAACTCAACAGTCACTCCTGGGAAACGATATAGGTTGTTGTGAGTCAGAACCGACTCGGTGGTTTTTAACAACAACAAATATGCGTATAAATTTATAAAATTAATAGAAGACTCCTTAGATGCCAGGATGGTAAGACTTTGTCATACTTTGGATATATATATATATATATAGATAGATAGATAGATAGATAGATAGATAGATAGATAGATAGATATGTGTGTGTGTGTGTAGGATAAGCACTCAAGATCGGTTTGAAACTCAGGGTGGGTGTTTCAAATTCACCAGCTGCTCCTCAGAAAGCCCTCTACAGGGTCCCTATGGGTTGGAACATACTCAAAGGCATTTAATGGGTTAATGCGCCAGACTGCTTAGCCGTTTACAACTGCAAGGTAGGTGGTTCAAGGTCACCAGCTACTCCTCAGAAACCCTATACAGGGTTGCTATGGGTTGGAATCGACTCGACGGCACTTGACAACAACAATAATATTCTCTTAATTAAATGCCATCGAGTCAGTTCCGACTCATAATGACCGTGTACAGGGCTTCTGAGGAGCAGCTAGAGAGTTTGAACCACCAACCTTGCGGTTCAAACCGACGTTGCGTCCAGTAATTATCATACAGCGCCACACAAGGACTCCAAATATATGTAATATTTATCTTCAAACTGCACTGTGATCAACAACTGATGGAGGGGTGCCCTCTGCTGGAAATTTTGATTTCTACAGTTAACTATATAACTCATTCTGAACTTTTCCAGAATTAAAATTTATGAGGTCGATTGTCAATTTAAAAAATCGTTGTTGTTTTTTTTTTTTCATTTTGGACATCTTTAAAAACATTTCTATACTAACATTAAATAGCATATGTGTGTGTATCTCATAGCATAATGCCTCTACCTATAAAAATTCAATATTATTTACAGTCCAATGATTTTCCTAATAGCTAATGGACTTCTTGTGTGGAACTATAATATCAGCACTGGACTATGAACCACAAGGTCGGCAGTTCAAATCCACCAGCTGCTCCTTGGAAACTCTATACAGGGTCGCTATGAGTCAGAACTTTTTGGAAGACAGTTAACAACAACAAAGCTTTTGTTGATGTAAGAGTGAAGGGACTTCAGTTGGCTTCCCCTTCTCTGTCCTCTGTAGCTTTTGAGGAACCTCCAGAAATTCCCGTTTGTAAGCCCCTACCTTAGATTACAAAAAAACAATTCCAACAACATCCTTTAAAGAGATGGTAAACCTATTTACCAATTTCATATGGGTAGGAAAGAGACCCCGGATAAGCAAAGTATTACTATAAAAAGGAGAGCAAAATTGGTGGCCTCTCACTTCTTAATCTCAAAACTGACTACCTAGCTACAGTTACCAAAACAACCTGTTACTGATACAACAAAAGATACATAGAACAGAGCTGCGGACCCAGAAGTAAGTCCATGCAGCTGTGCTCCGTTCATCGTTTACAATGGACAAAACACTTTAAATGGGGAAGGGATCATCTCTTCAACAAATGGTGCTGGTAAAACTGGAAATCCATTTGCAGAAGAATTAAATAAGACCCATATCTCACACCATATACAAAAGTGAACTCAACATAGATGCAAGACCTTAATGTAAAACCTAGAACTATGAAGGTCATCAATGAAAAAATGAGGACAAACATGGCATAATGGCATAAATCCATTATCAAAAATAACTGAAAACACACAAGCCACAGAAGTCAAAACAGATGACTGGGGCATCCTAAACATCAGAAACTTATGTGCATCAACAGATTTCTCTGAAAGAGTAAAAAAGTTGCCCACAGACTGGGAAAATTTTTTTTTGCAATGACATATCAGATATGGAAATACTGTCTAAAATTTCTCGAACATTTCGGCACCTCAGTAAGAAGAAGATAAATAATCGAATTTTTTAAATGGGCAAAGGACATGAACAGATTTTTCACCAAAGAAGACATTCAGGTAGCCAACAACATATGAAGAAATGCTCATGGTTAGTAACCACTTGTTGTTGTGAAGTGCTGTCAAGTCGGTTCCAACCCATGACGACCCTGTATAGGGTTACCAAGGAGCAGCTGGTGAGCTTGAACCGCCAACCTTGCAGTTCAAACGGCTTTGCAGTCTGGTGCATTAACCCACAGCGCCACACCAGGACTCCTAGTAACCACTAGAGAGATGCAAATCAAAACAATGATGAGGTTCATCTTACTCCAGCAACAATAGCAAAGTTCAGACAAACAGAAAACAATAAATACTGGAGAGAGTGGAGAGTAGGGGACTCTCCTTCCCTGCTGGTGGGACTTTAAAATGGTGCGGCCGCTGTGGAATATGGAATGGCACTTTCTCAGTAGGTTGGAAATAGAAATATCATACGATCCAGCAAGCTCTCTACTTGGTATATATCCTCAAGAATATCTGCACACCCATGTTCATTGCACCGTTATTCACAATAACAAAAAGATGGAGACAACCTAGATGCCCATCAGCAGAGGAATGACTGAACAATCTCCGATATATTCATGCAATGGAACACTATGCAACAGTGAAGAATACTGATGAGTGACGATAAAACACCGTACACATGGAGGAACCTGGAGGACATTACACTAAGTGAAATGAGTCAATCACAAAGGAGCAAATGAGACCACTTCTGTAAAAAGTCAAGAAAAGATTTTCCTTCTGGAAAAGACTTTCTATGATAGTTACCAGGGGTGGGCAGGAAGGGATAATCATTCACTGGCAGAGTGTAGACACGTGCTAAATTTGTGAGCAGCAAGGCAGTTATAAAGAAAAGGAAGGAGAAAAGAAGCTGGAAGAGGGAATAAACAAGGGAAGTTGCTTTCTCTCTTTTTTTTCCCCATGCACTGGAAGGGAAAATAAATATTTTATTTTCTCATTATAAAAGAGCTTATACATTACTTTCGTTTGAAACATGAAGTTCAGGTTACTGTGGCAGCACTTCTATGTTGTTATATCATGTTTAATACAGAAGAGTCTCACCTTTTATTCCATCTTAATAATTTTATTTTCTCTATCAATATGGCCACTATAATGTTGAATTATGATATTCAGAAGTGGTTTTGAAGACTGCCTTCAAAAACCTATAATAAAGTAAAAAACATAAACAATTTCAATTCATAGAGAAGAGACTGTCAAGTTCTCTGATTCTGGTAACTGGATTGATTGATGCTGTATTAATATGGAGGAAGATACCATTCTTTAATACATAGTTTACATAATTTAGTAAAACTTGAAATATGTGAGAAAATGATCAACCTGTAGAAATCAGACTTTAACATTTGACAAACAGTTAATTCAAGAAGCAATTAGTATTCAAAATCCAATTACCATTCAGATCCTTCTGAGTCACAGCAACTCCAGGTGTGTCAAAGTAGAACTGTGCTCCATGTGGTTTTCAGTGATAAGTTTTTCAGAAACAAATTTTCAGGCCTTTCACTGAGGCACCTCTGGATGGGCTATAGCCTCCAACTTTTTGATTAGCAGCCATGCAAGTGAACAGGTTGTACCAACCAGGGACTCTGCAGTAAGCAAGTCATTCGGGGAGTAGAGGGGACAGGTTTAAAGAGAAAATGAACCATCCTCTGTTTGTGCACATAGCTGTCCTGGTAGACCAGGAGCTGAGATGGGCTCACGTATGACTGTAGTACACATGGAAAGGGATAATATGTACGTGGAGAGAGAGCATAGAGTGTTCTGTGCGGGAAGAGATGATTTGAAGCAAGATGGAGGCAGGCCATTGGAGCTGAGTTGGAAAAGGGATGGCAGGCCTTTCAGGTCCAGAAACAGTGGGGACCCAGAGAGTGAGGGAGGCACGTATAGTGGTGCATAGAGAAGAACACAGACGCAGAAAGTAGGTTGACAAAAGATCGTGTTCCATAAAAGAGGGCAGGGAGCAGAGAGGTTGGGACCCAATTGTTGTGAATTGCCAGGATAAGAAATTTCAGTCTGATATCAACTCTCCTGTATTCAGAAAATGCTGCAGTAAGCAGAAAATCAAATTTGCATATACCACTGCAGTTTTTTTAAAAGAGTTTATCTAATGATTTGGACATAGTTTCCTTCTTATATGAAATATTTGCATTCATTTCAGGCAGAAGCTGACAGCGTTGTGACTTTGCAGTCATTTAGAGATAAATGTGAACCTGTTTTTCTCTTTAGTCTTGTAAGTACAATATTGAATCCTGCAGTTGTATTATCTGATTCCAATTTATAGTGAAAGGAAAGTAGCATTGTAAAATTATCACGAAACCATTTGCTGCTGATAGTAATTGTATTTTTTTTAAAATCTTCTCTTTGCATGTCTAGTAATACATTTTCTAACATGACCTCAAGAGCTCATAATGGATTGAGGAAATTTGACTACTACACACTGAGTTGATCAGGGCAAAGGAAAAGAAGATGGTATCTCCCAGACGTCATTTTGTCATACTGAGATGGCTCACATGTTGCTGTGATGCTAGAAGCTATGCTACTGGAGTTTCTAATAGCAGCAGGGTTACCCAGGGTGGACATGTTTCAGCAGAGCTTCTAGACTAAGAACAGACCAGGAACCTATTAAACAATCCACTTCTAAGGGATTAACAACTGATACCCTTATAAATATCAGTGAAACATTGTCTGATATAGTGCCTGAAGATGAGCTCCTCAGGCTGAAAAACACGAAAAAATATGACTCTGGAAGATCTGCCTCCTGAAAGTAAAGTCAATTTTAATGACACAGATGGAGCAAGTTTTCAGAACTTCCTTTTCTGATGGGCATTGACTCAAAATGAGAAGAAACAACTGCAACCATCCATCAGTCATCAGAACGTGGACTGTGTGATGTATGAATTTAGGAAATTTTGAAGTTGTCAAAAATGAACTGGAATACATAAAGATCGATGCCTTAGGCATTGTTGTTGTTAAGTGCTGTCGAGTTGGTCCTGACCAATAGCAACCCTGAATAGGGTTTCTGAGGAGCAGCTGGTGACCTTGAACTGCCAAACTTGCAGTTCACACCAACTTTGCAGTCCAGCACGTTAACCCACAGTGCCATACCAGGACTCCATCCAAGGCATCAGTGAGCTAAAATGAACAGGTATTGGCCATCTTGAATCATAATCATATGGCTTACTATGCTGGGAATGACAAATTCAAGAGGAATAGTGTCCTATTCACCACCAAAAGAATATTTCAAGATCTATCTTGAAGTGCAATACTGTCTGCGATAGCACAGTATCTATACACGTGACACCAGTTAAATACAGTTAATACTAGTTAAGGACAGTTATATTTCAAATTCACGCACCAACTACCAAAGCCAATAAGGAAGAAACTGAAGAACTCAATTCTATTAACTTCTTCAAGTCTAAAATTTATCAAACACACATTCAAGATGCATTGATAATTACTAGTGATTATAAAGCAAAAGTTGGAAACAAAGAGGAAGAATTGGAAGTTGAAAAATATGGCCCTAGTGATAGAAATTATAGTTGAGATCAAATGATATGATTTTGTAAGTCCAATGATATATTCGTTGCAGATACCATTTTTCAACAACATAAACAGTAACTACACCTGTGGGCCTCACCAGATGGCATACACATGGATAGACTATATCTGTGGGAAGAGGCAATAGAGAAGCTCAATATCATCTGCCCAACAAGGCTAGGGGTAAGTGCTTCTATGCAAGTTCAGGTTAAAGCTGAAGAAAATTAAAAGAAATCCACAAGAACCAAAATACCACCATGAGTATATACCATCTGAATTTAGAGACCATCTCAAGAACAGATTTGATGCATTGAAGACCAGATGAGTTGGGGGATGACATTAACGTCTGCATTTACGGAGAAAGCAAAAGGTCAGGAAAAAGACAGGAAACGAGGAACCTAACATGGATGTCAGAAGAGACTCTGAAACTTACTCTTGATCGCAGAGTCGCTAAAATGAATGGAAGAAATGATGAAGTAAAAGAGCTTGACAGAAATGACAGAGGACAGCTTGAGAAAACAAAGTATTACAGTGAACTGTGCAAAAACCTGGAGTCAGAAAACCCAAAGGAAAGAACACACTCAGGATTTCTCAGGCTAAAAACTGAAGAAAAAAATCCAAAACAGTTCAAGCCTCAACTTGAACTATTGGAGTATCCGTGAAAAAGAAGAAGATACAGTTGCAGTAAGAGTGGACACGAACACTGTGAGGCTGCTACAGGGCCTTCTGCTGTACAAGGAGTTGCTGTGAGTCAGAACTGACTTCATGGCACCTAACAACAACAACTAAGAAGAAAAGGATCAGAAATTTGTAATATGAGCATTTATTTAAAGGTGTAAAAAATAGAAAATTTAGCTCACTAAGTGTTACTACCACCAAGAAGGAAGAACTGGGGTGGAGTGTGTCTTTTGACCTGTGACCCCTGCTCTGTGAGGCTCCTAGATCCAGGGGGAGATGAATGCCTAAACACAGATGCTGAAAGGAACAAGGACCATTCCCCGGAGCTGACATACTAAGCCTTTCCCTAGAGCCTGGACTTCTAGCCTCCTAACATGTAAAGAAATTCTGTTTGTTAAAGACATTCTGTTGTCACCACCGTGGATAACTAAGACAGTTTCTTATTAGAGGTCCGTTCTATTTGTGTAAACCTCCTTCTCCACCATCTCACTCCTATCATTCTCTGGCCTTCTAACCACTTATGTCAATTACTAAAGATTCTGACACCTGGTTCAAAGTCTTCCTCTCAAACTCTAGTCCTGCCATTACCCTGGGACTTCAGTATCCGCCTGGGCAATCCATGCAGTATCCTGACCTCTCAATTGATGACCACCTTACTTTTCCTCTGATTTCCAATGCCCTTCTTGAGCCACTTCCAAAGTTATCTCCTTCAAATCCCAACTAAATTTTCTCCCAAGTTTTCATATTTATTTTAGATCCATTTCACTTCCCATTAACTTTAATCTAACTTGTAATTATTCCTCTAAAAAATTTATCATTAATATATACAATTAGCAGCTTGTAGCTAAATATAATGGACATTTGATATCTCTTAAATATGTTGAATATGGTGTCCATACCTTCCTTTTTGTAGCTCATCTGAAACCTGTCCACTATGGGTGACCCTGCTGGTTATTTAAAACACCGGTGGCATAGCCCTCAGAATCACAGCAACTCAAACCACCACAGCACGACAGACAGACGAGTGGTGGCC